TTATTAGAACCTCTCATAATAGTATTATATATATTAATTATATATATACTATATATATATAATATATATATATATATATATATATATATATATATATTATATATATATATATTCACTTTGATTTTAGCCAACTTAAGTAGGCACTGCTATGTTAATGGGAAATTAGCAAAGCAGAGAATAAGAGAAAATGGTGCATTTTTGCCGATTCCTTTGATCTCGGTTACAACTTGCATTACAAATGAGAGGCAACGAATTTTGCGTTTTCCCTTTGTTTAACAACTGGCGGTTCTTCTGGCAGCGCATGGAGCTGCCCTTCTTCGATGATTGCTCTTCGAACTTGCTCTTCCGTTCGACGATCCGACCGTCTTTATCGTTCGGGAACGCATGACTTTCGTGGAATTTATGAATAACCTTGAAATGCAGTTTAAGACTCTGACACGAGTTTGACTCTGTGAATTAGAGTTGTTGGAACGCAGAATTTCCGCGCTTAAGTCATCGAAGCTGCTTTTTTCTGTTGTTCGTAATGAATCTCTCAGATTTGATCTTTCTGAGCGCCTTGCATTTCCAAAATCCTCCGTTTCCGGCTTCGCAGGATTTCCGGGGTCTGCTGTTGTGACCGAATCTCCAAACCAGAGTGGTTTGATGATAAGAATCCAACCTCTGATCTGATTATCCAAAAATCTTTGATCTATTAACTCTTCGAAGTTTGTTTTGAGAACTGAAAATTCTCAACCTTATGCTTTATGATCTTTTGTAATCAACGTGAATGGAGCTTCAGATGCCAAATTCCAACCCGCTTAGCTTTGCTTGGAGTTCGTGAGCTTTATATAGCGGCGGATAAGAGCCGTTTGTAACTGACCCATATATCCGCTCCTACCGTGCAGTCGCTGAAAATCCCCTCAGAACATGTGTGATAAACGGTTTTGCGCAAAACGCTTCGACTTATGTGAATTAAGTCAAAACACGCATTTTCTGGCGGCGTTTAGAACTCAACTTCAGCTGCTCTTTGAATGAGACGCGAAGTTTGTGCCGTGTTAGCTGAACACCATTGACGCTTATGCAGGTCGCTCACGTTTTTGCGCCTTGTGCATTGTCGTCACGCGGAGGGTCGCCTTGTGGGTTGAACACCATTGAACGCTAGTAGGGTCTTCTCACTTTGGCTTGTGCATATGTCGCGCGCAGGGTCGCCTGTTGGCTTGAACACCATGAACGCTGAGGGTCGCTCACGTTTGGCTATGTGCATTGTCGACGCCAGTCAGGCGTCGCCTGACTTGGTTTTTGAACCATTGAACGCGCAGGCGGTCCGCTCACGTTTGGCTTCGTGCATTTCGACGCCTGCATGGCGTCATCGTCCATTTTCCAAATTGTTGACGCGGGTGATGACATCCGCTGTTTCAGAAGAGCCATTTTGACTTGTAACTTCTTCTGTAGAGCCGTTAGCAAGCGACCGTTGCCTTCAACTAATCCTAGCTTTATGCTGTTGTGCGCAGTGTGAAAGCCTCGTCAGCATTTGTACTTTCACTGTAGATTGTGAAGACCTTGCTGAATCAGAGTTTTTTTTCATCAATCGTCAGAACAGTGTCGTTTAATCTGCTAACTCTTCTCGATCTATTGTGAAAGCCCATCCATTGTAACTTTCGTGTTCACCGACCGAAAACTATTTTTGATTGTAGCTTTCGTTGTTAGTGAGCCTAGAACCGGGAGATCAACATCCATAGTGTCTTCAAGAGCATGATATTTCTCCATATGCTCTTCTACCAAGCAAATTATTCGACTGTATGCTTTCGCATCATCGACTTGCAAAGCTATTTGATTGTAGCTTCCGTTCTAGGAGCTAGACGGGAATCAACACCATAGGCTCTTAAAAGATTTGAATATTCGCCCTATAGCTCTCTATCAAGCAGATCTCACCACTGATCTCCAACTTTTTATTTCTGAAATCGTCCACTAGCTCATCAGCATCTCTATATAGTTTGCTTATGATTTAGCCATTGCTGTTGTCACAGCGGGGACATCAAGATCAATCATCTCAGGACTGAGTTAGCAGGTCCTGAGGTCGAGTGTCGGACGGCGATGCAAGGTTTGTATGGCAATTGCTATGAGTTGCGCGATTGCAGTGTATCTGGCGAAGCTCGTCTGATTGTGACCTCCTCGTTGTTCGGAGCCTTGTTTGAATAAGCTATATCTATTGTGTTTTTTAGACGCATACAGATACCCCTCCAATAGTTTTCGAAGTTCGCGGTTGACATGGGACGAATTTTCGCGAATACTTATGATCCAGAATTGTGGGTGCGTATGATTGCTCTTCCCGCCTGATCGAGTCAGATGGTTCGCCTGTGCTATGACATGTAGCCTATCTGCTACTTCCTCCAACAGGGACTCCCAGTGGCAGCTCGTTTGTTTTCTTCCCATGGCTTTGTCCGCCCTGGTAACCGAGAAATTACTGTGCATAATGGTCTAACACACAAAGACTCTTATTTGCCTTTTGAGCCGCATTTGGAACGCTCGTTGTGCGTGATGAGCCCAGCGTAGAAATTTATGAACTGCCGTATGGTGTCAGCATCGGCTTTGCGAGCCTGAATCAACTCGCAACGCCGATGCAGCGGTCGAGCTTGGGCGCGTAGCTGATGCGCTCGAATCCCGGTCCCGTTAGGTATTTGCACGCTCATAGCCGTCATATAATATATGACGCTAGCGTGTTCAATTCAGAGTCATTTGACTCTTCTTGAAATTTAACGAAAAAGAAATTCGTTTTACTTCTCCGTGGCAACTGCCTTCATCTTTCTCCGGACGAGTCCATGGCCACTCAACTGAAGTCCTCCAAGTCCGACGTCGCTGGCCAAGCCTGAATTTCCGCCGTGCGTCTGCAGGATCGTGCACCGTCGCTCGTGGTACGCGACCGGCGCCGTCTGACCGCGCTCAGCGCGATGTGGACAGACCCAACTCCTAACGGCGCCTGAGTACGGACCTTCGAGATGCGTCATTTAAAACTTGTCCGGCAAGTTCTGATCTTTGATAATTAACGAGGAAACTCGTTTCCAATAACGCGGGCGCTAGGACCTGTCAGTTTAATCGTCTTGTACGAGCGGTCATTAACCTTCACTGCTCTCAGATTTTTTGACGCGTGAAGGGTCGACCCACGCTGTCTTGAACTATCTGCTACGCGAGGCTCAACCTCGCTCCATGTCTTGAGATTGGTCTGACGCGGGTTCGACCTATCGCTGTCTGAGATTTGTCTGACGCGGGGTTAGACCTTCGACCGTCTAGTGCCATTGTTTGTACGCGCGGCGGTCCGACTCTTTCGCGATCTGAACTTGTCTGAGCAGCCCGCGGTCTCTGTTCGACCTTTTCCGGCTCCTGAACTTGTCTGGGACGCTGGCGGTTCGACCTTCGCTGTTCTGAACTCTGTCTGATTTTGAGTGGTCTAACTTATGCTCTCTCTTAATAAAAACCTCCTTAGCCTAAAAACTAAAAACCTCATTCATCCATTGGATCTAGATGAATCCAATGGGTGGGATTCAGTCAAACAGTCAACAGACACATGCATTAATTACCTCATTAATTATCTCAATGCAGTGAATCCAGATTTACTACATCAACGTATTTCAAATCACTACAGTGAATCTGGATTCACTGGATTCACTGTAGTGAATCTGGATTCACTGGATTCACTGCGTTGATGTAATTAATACATGTGTTTAATGAGGTAATTAATGCATGTGTCTGTTGACTGTTTGACTGAATCCTAACCATTGGATGAAGGAGGTTTTTAGTTTTTAGGCTAAGGAGGTTTTTATTAGAACCTCTCCCTATATATATATATATATATATATATATATAGTATATATATATATATATATATATATATATATATATATATATATATAATATATATAGAAAGAGTTTGCGCACGTTGTACCCCAACATTTTCGTTAATTTCATATTACACCTCCAAGCCCCATATTTCTAATTAAAAGTACTAAATATATTTAAGTTGTTTAAAATAACACTCTTTTAGAAACAGGATTTTGTAAGTTCCCAAAATTTTGTGAGTCTTTCTTAAATTTCAATTATACCTCCAAATCTTCATTTTCCTAAATAACAATAACCTCAACTTTATCCATTGTAAGAGTTTAGCACTATAGTAAAAATTATGGAAGAAATCCCCTCAAGAGGTGTTATTTAAGAAAACTAAATCTTTTATGAGTGTGAATTAGAAATATGAATTAGGTTTTGAGGCACTGAAAAGTTAACAAAGAAGTCAGGGTCTAATATGATTAAAGCAGAAATTTTCTTAACTCATTCAGATTTTTTTTTTAAAATCAATCACATTGAGCTTTTTTACAAAAATCGACTCACTTTCTTGTCACGTCAGCATTGTGATGAGAAAGTAGGTCGGTTTTTTTTACTCCGGTTCCTAAATAGTCAGGGTTGCCAACCCCGACTATTTAGTAGGTTGTAAAATCCTAATTACAACTCTAAACCCTAACATTCTATGCACTAAATAGTCGGGGTTGACAACCCCGATTATTTGGAAACCGGATTAAAAGAATGTGTCGATTTTTGTAAAAAAATCTCAAGGAGTCGATTTTAAAAAAATAAGGAATGGATTTGTTTAGAAAATTTCTTCTATATTAAAACCCAAAAAGATTCTGACAGGTTCCCACCGCTCCGCTCTACAGAATAGAAAAAAAATCGGGGCTTTTTTGGCAACGGGAGAGCAGGAACCGGAGCTTTAACATAGAGGGTGAAAAAAGGAAGGAGGGAGGGAGAGAGAGAGAGAGAGAGATGGAGGGAGAGAGGAAAGTTGTGGTTGCTGCTCTCCAGTTTGCTTGCTCCGACTTCGTCTCCGATAATGTCGACACTGCCGAAAGGTTCAACCTTTTTTATTCCTTCTCTTATTCTTTTCTAAAGACTTGTTTCTGGAGGTTTTGCTGGACTAAATGGCCAAATGGGTATTCTCTTACTCTGTGAATTATGTTATAAAATTAGAAAAAGAAGGGAACTTTGCTATGGGATTTCACTTGATTAGTTTCTCCTTGTGATTCTTTACCTAAAAGACGTGCTAAGAAAGAGACTGGTTATTCAGTAAATCAGTGTTTTTTAAAAAGTTCATGGTTTACTATATTATTAGAAAGAAGGGGTTATTACCATGTGTTCAGTTTTCAGCTTTCTTCGTTTTTAAATGGATAACTGTTAGTGCTGTTAAGGTTATTGAAATGCCATAAGGTTTTGGTACCTGCTTAGGGGGAGAATTTCACGAAGTTGAACTGTGGTTTGCTAATTATGGTATTCAATCACATAATTGGTTTTTAAAGGCAGCTGGAGTAGCGTGCGATTATAGCTGTGAATTTGTTCATCGCACTAAATATTGGTGTAAATCGAGGATGTATGTACATATTGCATAAATTTCCAGGTGCTCCCAACTGTCCTGAAATTTGGAGTACACAATAGAAAGTTGGGAAACAGAAATTTACTTTTTTCCTTTGATCATTATGAGATGGCTCTCTTAACATTATGATAAGTGCGTAAGTTTTGTTTTTCATTTTATTTGGAACATGTTCGATAGGATTCTTTTTCCTTTGTGAACAAGGAGGCATGTTATATTGTTCTCCTGTAAGTAGAGTTTTAGTGGCTAAGATATGTAGGATAAGCTTGTGGTAAATGGTAACTTATTATAAAAATGGATAAGCGCGACACGGAATTATGCAACTATGCTGAAGTTCAATGATTGTGCATATATCATTGGTACCATTTTCATGTCCAAGAGACCATATTTTGGTCTATAGGTTGCAGATCCCAAGGTCGGATCCTTATGAAGAGTTTTGGGAACACTTGCCTCCTTATAATATCAAAATTTTTATTAAGGGGTATACAAATTGATGTAGGTGCCTCTATACTATTTTAATAGGTGGCCCCAACTCAACAAAGATGAGACTGCATAGAGAACAATTATGAAGGGCTATCCTTAGAACTTAATAGTTTTTTGTTAGCTTCAGTGGTGAAAATGAAAATTATCATGTATTGATATGAAAATGATAAATTTTTGTTATTACTGTAGAAATAAGTTTTTCCATTGGTAGAATTTATATTATATAAGTTATTAATTTATATGTATAGTTGTATATGTGCCCTATAGGGAAAAATTCTGGGTACCCGACAACAACATTGGTGCTGGAAATAGGCTGCAGCACATCAAACATATTTCTAGTTTTTCATCATAAAACAAGAATATGCTTTGCGTAATAAATTTACTGAAGTATTCATAGTTTGATTGTTTAATTTGGAAAAGATTATTGTTGAATTGTTTGGCATTTAGTTTAAGCATAAATAACTCTATCTATCTATTTGTCCATCCATCTCTCTCTCTCTCTCTCTCTCTCTCTCTATCTATCTATCTATCTACGTACATATGTATGTACCTATGTATGTACATACATAGGTACTAGGTACGAAGGTACGTACATACACACGTAAGTATGTGCATGCGTGCATGCACATGTCTGCACATGTCTGCTTACCAAATAATAGTCAGAAATTTTTACACACGTTTTCTTTTGTGTATTTACTTTTCAATATTTAAATTCTATATGGACATAGTGCTCATATGCGTGTGCGTGCGCGCATGTCTGCTTACCAAATAATAGTCAGAAATTTTTACACATGTTTTCTTTTGTGTATTTACTTTTCAACATTTAAATTTTATATGGACATAGTGATCATATGCTCACTTCTCTGCAGGTTGGTTAGAGCTGCGCATAAGAAAGGTGCAGATATTATTCTAATTCAGGTACACTTCAGAAAATATGTATTATGCTATTATGCTATTTGAGAGAATTATTGACCGTGAAACAGATTATTTTAATTTATCTATAACCATAACAAAATACAAGAATGTCATCCATAAATTAAAAGACACAAAAAATGCATGTAGTCAGGCCTATGTCCACTGAGCGCTTGTGAGGTGCATTCATAAGCATGGAGTATATAAAGTGCACTACTTTGTCTTGAATCCCAATAAAGTTATTTATTTTTATACTGATATACAAGGCATTCTATGTGCAGACACGTGTCCCCTTTTCCCTAATCCTTGATAAATAACCCTAACTATTTTTGAAGATTAGTGCCTCTTGAAACCTTGTCTCGTTTTGTCGTCCTCAGCATTGGAGCAGTTTATCATCTAATTTACTCTATGGAACACAATTCTTTTGTGGCTATTCAAAGCCCTTTTATCATCCTCAGGAACGTTACATTATGCTAAGTTAACCTAGTTCTTTGATAGCTACCATTTGCTTCTCACGTAGTCTTTCTCGCAATATGGGAGGAAAGAAATCCTACCATAATAGCAGTTGATCTACCTTTTGTATTAAAATGTGTTTTGTGTTGTGTTTCAGGAGCTATTTGAGGGGTATTATTTCTGTCAAGCTCAAAGAGAGGATTTCTTTAAATGTGCCAAGCCTTACAAAGGACACCCTACAATTTTAAGGTCTGTAATACGATGATGGTTATCCTTCTGCATTGATGCATGAAGGAAAGAGATAATACTAACTTATGTCATCTTTTAAGTGCTCTTATACTGCATTTGCATATTCAGGATGCAGAAACTTGCCAAGGAGTTGGGTGTTGTAATACCTGTGAGTTTCTTCGAAGAAGCAAATAATGCTCATTATAATTCCATAGCCATCATTGATGCTGATGGAAGTGATCTCGGACTTTATAGGAAATCACACATTCCAGATGGACCAGGCACTTATCATTAAACTCTTCTGTGTCAATACATTGTTTTCACTTTTATGACCGTCGCATCCTTGATTATTTTCACGTACAATTGATGATTATCTGATGCCAGGATATCAAGAGAAGTTCTATTTCAATCCCGGTGACACTGGTTTCAAGGTGGACTTTAATGAGTTATAACTCTACTTTGGTGATATTGAACTTATTTAACCTTAAACTAACAACCTCCCTTTTTGCAATCCCATTACAGGTTTTTGCTACCAAGTTTGCTAAAATTGGAGTAGGTAAGTAATTTCGTTAGTTATTAAACTAGATACACTGTGCACTGTGTACAACATTTTACTATGGAACCCCAATTGAAGTAGCAACTTGATATATCTTTATTTGAACCTTTTTATTGAGTCAAAAGTTTTGGTTCCTCTTATGGCAGCAATTTGTTGGGATCAGTGGTTTCCTGAGGCTGCAAGGGCTATGGTCCTTCAAGGTGCAGAAATTTTGTTTTATCCAACTGCTATAGGATCAGAACCACAGGATGAAGGGCTTGACTCCAGGGAACACTGGAAAAGAGTAATGCAAGGCCATGCTGGGGCTAACTTGGTATTATCGTGAACCATATCTTTCTTTAAAGAACAAATAAGTTTTCTCCTGAGAATAATGAAAGTA